CTCTGATTGGGCGAATTAGAGGGTACACGCAAAGGCTAGATGTTTTTGTTTGTACTCATCATTCTAACAGTGAGTTGAGGCAAAGCTGAGCGTTTGCTCTGATTAGGTGGGAGACGGTGAGTAAAGACGAAGGCAGCTAGGCTTTTCCTGTGTGCCCACTAATCTTACGGTAGCGCGATACTTATATACAAGGACAAGAGGTAAGAACAAGACAACACAGTGCGCCAAAGGAATGCTGACTGTTGGGCGAGTCGGTGATGAATCTTTGAAAACGCGGTCGTGCTTACACACAGGGAAGGCTTAAGGATACACACTTTCCTAAGTTCAGTATGGCAACTTTGGTTACTATCATCATCATTATCTGAGGAATGACATCTGTGCCGTATATTAGTGGCGGCCTTCTGGTGGCCGATGAAGAAAGACGTTGAAGGTAAGCGGATGGTGGTGATGCCTATGGATTCGAGGGGGTTGGTACAATGATTGTGGCGTGGGGATTGAACGCAAGAGCCATCATAAGCGTTCATTTCTAACTCGGATTTAGTTAATCTGTGGGCGGCACACAATCGACTCTAAGGCCCTTTGGTGTATTTTCTCGTTCTCGCGTGAGTTAAAACGTGGTGGCGCCAGTGTGTAAATGTCCTCAAACGCTTTCGGTTCTGAACTAGACGGCAAGTTTCGCAATATTTTGCGAGATAAAATTGACGCGCCATTTTGGAAAAATGGTCGCTTATGTCACTGTCACGCCTGATGCACCCGCTACGGTAAAATACCGACGCGTAAAAAAAAGAAAAAAAAAAAGAAGTTAGGTATTTTCGGACCGGAAGTGTGCCAGGACTACTCAATACCATACTTGGGTAGGAAGTCAATTACTGTAAGTTAATTATTTTCTTTGGTAATTGGTATTTGTAATTAATTCTGGCTAAAGGGACTTGCAATTATAATTTAATTAGTTTATAGAGTCAGTAATTGCAAAAGTTCAAGTATTTTGCAAGACTTTGCGGCACCGATGAAAAACACTCACACACAAACTCACACACACGCACAACATAAACAGCGTTGCATTGTTTGTTGTTTTGTTGCTCACACTGCGGGCTGATAGACGATTCTCTTTGGAGCCTACCTCAACGGCACCGTGTAGCGCCGTCTGCGGTGCGAGCAAAAAACAATAGCGTAAACATGTCAAAATATTGAAAGAAAAAAAAAATTGAGCTTCAGCTTTCAGCCGAGGTTGGGAAATTTAATTGTCTCTGAAGTTATTTTTCTTTCATTTTTGTCAGCTTTTTACGTCCCTCTTACAGTACTGTCACATATGCGTATCTTTGTATTATTTTCGAGTTTATTTCACGTAGGTTTTAGTTCGGATATTATTTGCATAAGCACTTTGGAGACTGACCTTACGCCTGTGGCTATGGTCATCAATGGTCCGGGGGCTCCGCTTCGGTAGTTATATATTTCTGAGCCATTACGAATTCAACTCAATGTAAATAATTTACAATACCATGAAGTTTGTATGTGAATGTGGTCATATTAGCGCGTGTGGATTTTGCTTTCATATTAACACTTGTAAAATATTCCTATGTGACTAATTGTCACATTTTTATTTGCCTGGCTAACTAAAGTCTGTCAACCCAATTTGTTCTTTGGCGATCTGGCATCTTGAGCATGTCAACTAATTTATTATTATTTATTGAAAATATAAAAACATAGCACTTTATATCCCCACACTGTCAACTTCCATCATGAATTTAACAAAATTCATAAATAGACAGTACAGTACGTGAACATTTAAGTAAGGTGTGAATAAATACGTTGCATTCTATACAACTCATTTAAAATCATATGGCCCAAGTTGGGCCGCTATCGGAAATAAGTAGTTGTAAAGTAATTTTATGACTTTTTAAAAGTAATTTGTAATTGTAATTAATTACTTTCCACATAGTAGTAATTGTAATTGTAGTTAAACTACTTTTGAAGCAAAGTAATTGTAAATAAATTACATTTTGGAAGTAATTTACCCATGTATGCTCAATAGATGGCGGCACTGAGTTTGTTGCCAAACAAATTCGAGGTGTCTATGTGGATCGGAGCTCCGTTCTGACCAGTTATATCTTTGTCGCCGCCATCGAAACTGAAAGTAAATTAGAAGAGACCGTACAGTGACTTCCTCGCTTGCCGTTGACTTGCCAAGGTAAGGAAGGTGCCCGATAAAACACAAGTGCACTACCGCCAATGGTACGGAAAAAAAAACCCAGCTATATGATCTATTAGATGGCACTGGATTTCGGAATATACCCTTTCGGAAATTCAGTGCCACCTGGCGTCATACCAATGGTGGTAATGGATTTGTAGTTTATCGGTCACTGTCGCTACCAGGTGGCGAATTCTACCCCCTGGCAACACTGAGGCAAAGCCTCGTGCCTAGGTGGGGCAAGCTACCAGCCGATACAAACGGTATACTGTCTTTTTTTTTTTAAGGTATACGAATATCTATGTGGAGAAGTGAGCCTGGCAACACTGAGGCAAAGCCTCGTCGCTAGGTGGCACAAGCTACTGCCCGATTCAACGGGCATAGCCAATATTACCCATCCATCCGGTGAAACGCGGGGAACGCGACGCAACACAACGCAGTCAACAAAAAGTCGGCGCTTTCCCTATACGACGATGCGCTCAGGAGTGAGCGCGAAAAATAAAATGGGGTCAGCTAAGCCTTCTACCGAAACACTCGCACGGCACGTTGCACTCTCGATTTCGGTGCCGATAGACAGCAAACCGATCTTCGAACAGTCTAGTCATTAGTATTTTTGTCACGCCACTGCCGGGAACTGGGTAAGCGAAGCCGGAAAACGACGGGCGTCGATCCGTTTTTCCGAGGCCAGATTAGAGGGTAAAATCACCTCAGAAATGACAAAAACATGTGTGCGTCTATCTTTTTTTTTTTTTATTACAGCGATAGTATTTTCTGCGAGGTTTCACGGCGGATCCCGTGTGTGTTTCATGTACGTCGTGGCCCGCCAAATTTAACGGAAAATCAGTGTCGCGGCATCTTGACATTACAATGTCAGCAGATTGAGACGGTAAATTAAGTGACGTAACAAGTTTTCCGCTCAATTTATCGAAACATTTCTCCGCTAAACTTAACGGGAAAGCGCATCTGCCAATTTTAGCGGGAAATCACAGTGTCGTGACACTGTCACGTCACGGTGTCAGCAAATTGTGAAGGCATGTCGCCTGATGTCATAATTTTTCCGATAAATTTATTCCTCCAAATTTAGCGAAAATTGTCAATAAACTTAGCGGGGTGTTTTATCCGCTAAATACGGCGGGGAATCACCAGCGTCCTGACATTGCGAAGGCATGTCACATGACGTCAAAAGTTTTCCGCTGTATCCAGCGGAGAAATGTCTTCACTAAAGTTAGCGGGAAAATGTCTTTGCCAAGTTTGGCGGGAAAACCTAGCCGCTAAGTGTATCACTAATTGAGCGTCACGTGACGTCACGGTAGCGCCTACAAAAGCGGACGCAACGCCCCACAATTTATGAAGCTTGACACAAAAATGTCAAAATATTTTGTTTACTACATACACTACAAGTTCATTACTTTATTAATGTTCACAACCATCTTACGAATGCAAACTGTGTGGTAACGCGATGAGAACGAAACAACGAATTAATTTTTGCCCCATTCCTTTAACACGAATCCTCTTAAGAATTCTTTATTTATTTGATATTTAAATGCATTGACGATTGGAACTGTTTATCAACGAACGCTGCAAATAGTAGAGATGTGTGTGATTCTCTTGATAACGGTTTTAACGCTTGAGGGGGTTTTCCTTTGACCTCGCTGTTGGCAGTTTTACGTGGTGCGGGTTGGCGACGTTGTCCTTGAGTGGGCGCGTACCAATGGAAGGGATTAACCGAGGATTAGCGCGATGTCAAAACGAAGTGAAAGTCACTTGTGCACTATAGATTCCGTTTCATGTAAATGTTTTGCCTTGAGACTGGAAGGCCGCTAAAGGCGTGATCGTATGGATTCTACAATCTAATCGTGGAATTGACTATGGAGCGTTGAACGTGAATCCAAAAATCGCTCCAAATTAAATTATATTTCGCATGGCGAGGGCTATACTGGCCACTGGGAAGGGTTTGCATCAAACAGTTGTTGCGCTGAAGCGTCGATCTTTGGCAAGAAAAAAAAAAAAAAAGAAGATAGTGGTTGAGAGTTTCATGTTTTGTTTAGATGTTGGGATCCCGCGTTGCGTGGGTGTCACTACTACCTTATACTGTCGGGAGTCGGAGTAGTCAGTCTTTAAAAAAAAAAAAAAACATTTAGGTCCCTTTAATCAGACATGTAACTGCTTTTATATAACTAAATGTCTAGGCATAGTGTAATCAGGTATGTGCAGCCCTGTTGAGGCGTCTTCTTCATTATTATTCCCCCTTCCCAACGTTAATTATGATGACGACGTTTACATGACTTCAAACGCGATTTTTGCAAAAATTAAAGAATCGCTATATATAAGGTTGATTTCTGTCGGCTTTCAATGCATTGATTGATACCTCTCGAAGTACGTGACTTCCGATGAAAAGATCAGAAGATCTTCCTCAGACGGACTTTCAACTTTAATTAAAATGTGAAAGAATTGCAATCGGGTATTTTTAAAGTGTTTTTTGCAAATTCGACATAAAAAAAAAAAAAAAAAATTTAAAACATTTTTCACGAAAACCTTTTTTTTTTTAGTTGCTGCGCCCGGTACAGAATATAAACAACGAAAAACGCCGATTTTTTACTCGCTTACCCACTTTTTTATAGATGCTGACTAAGGTCGACCTGTTAACTATAGTTCGCCGATGTGCTTTGATGTTCACTTCTTTTGACGTTTTTCGCATATAATTAATGCCCCCCCCCCCCCCCTTCTTGTCCCTCTCTCCCCTCCGCCCCTGCAAAATTATAGCTACCGAAAAATGCCGAATATCAGGAACCGAAACGAACACGCAACTTACATTCGGGCGGAGGATCGAAGATTCCGGTGGCTTCCGGTCGCTTACCGACGGCAGTCCGCGACGGTAGTACCGCGCTACTCTGTCTGCTCCTCTGTCTGACCTAACGAGCGGGCGACGAAATCACTTTCCCTCTCCCCTTTCTTACGGGATGACGACAGCCCACGTCCCCGGATGTGGGACGCTGGCCCCTTTACACGCAAGGCGGGCCGCGATCCCCGCGGGGCGAGCGCGTGCTCACGCCTACTGTCCATACTGCGTGTAGGGACGAGAAAGTGAGATCATGACGTCACGGACTTCTTCCTCCAGACGGGTTTGTACAGTCCTCGTTGCGAGCAGTCAAATTACTTGCAATCAATGGCTTGTTGTAGTAATTTTGTAATCGTGTGAAAGCCTCTCTTAGGAGCTAATCACGAAAGTAATCCGGTTACTAAAAGTACTAAAATTACTCGTTTTTCGTTATCACTTTTTTCTCCCCTTTCTAATGGCGAATTATTTTTGCTACGTGTTTTCTGCCGAAGAATGCTTGAAACGAGTCACTGACGGACGAATGATCTTCCGAAATTGGTGCATTGAGAAGGTAAGTAGTTTCTGATTCGGCGATTGTAATCCGATAGTGGACAGCACGAAAGACCAGTTTCCAAACCAGCTGGAAAAAAATTGTCGTTTTGAGAATCTGAACTTTTGAAGTAACCGGAAAGGTAACGATTGCTTCTTCAAGTAACTGCGCATTACTTTTCTTCTCGAGTAATCGAGGGATCTAATCAAATACTCTTCAACCTAGAGTAATTCGTAATTGTAGTCAAGTATTTTTTTTTAGTAACTTGTACAAGACTGGTGACAGGTAAGTTCTTAAGCTGTCACAAGCACTTAGTAGATGATGATCCGCCTTCGTCTCACGGTCATTGCCCTCTGCCACGTCTTGGTTGCGTGTGCGATGAAGTTCCATTAACGTAGAAAGCTTGCGCTTGAGGGAGAGCCTCTACTTTTTTGCTTGTCGCCGACTATAGTTTTTCAGCGATATCAGGGTTTTTGGGAAGCCTCACGTTCACTTCATGCAGTGTGGAGGGACCAGAAAGTGCCACAGGATGAGTCGTGACGTCACCAACATCAGCTTCCAGGGCCCGTTTGCTCGAAGCCGGTTAACTTTAACCGCGGTTAAAAATTAACCGATCTTCCCTACTAGGTACCTAGGAGTACTTAGCCAAGTTTGACGAGGGCTGGTTGAGCGATAGTTTCGTGTTTTGTTGTGGGGTGGTAGTTGTTGTCACCTACTGGTTTGTAGAGAGTATAAGTAACTTCCGTGGAAAAGTTCCCGAAAAAAAAAAAGGGGGGGGGGGGGGGGCAAAAAAGCGCGCTACCGGGTTTTCGCGACGCAGTGCGGCTTGCATTTGAGCTTAAGAAACATTTTTGTTGCTCGTAATGCAAATATTGGGTAAGGTAAAACTAAATTAACCCTCGTTTGGAAAATTTCTCAATATTTGGATGTCTAAAGTTCAGATCAGAAAAACAAGCGCCCGTGTTTGTTCTCTACCTTGTGTACGTATTTTTAGCACTTTTAACCATGGTTCAATACAAACAAGCCTCGTTGAAATTTTCTTCCAAGTTTGAAAAAGGACGAAGAAGGTCAGTCCTCGAAACGATGAGGAAGATATAAGCAGTGAAATGCGGGCGGCACATCGGCAGCATGGTTGGCCAGCATAAACGAAGGTATATAACACCCCTCATCAATTAAAAAAAAAAAAAAAAAAAAAACTGTAATTCGGCTCCAGTGAAAAAAGACATAGTAAATTACCCAAGCATCGAGGAGAACGCTGGAAGTGTAATTCTGCAATCCGCGCGCGCTAGCGCGCCTTCCTCATATAAAAGATTCGAAGTAAATAATTATAATAAGGCTCTGACGAACACGCGGTCAAGGCAAAATTAGTTTTAGGCTTTTTGCTTTGGAACAGTTACCACTAGAGCCACTCTATATGGCAGCGTAGCTGCCATAGTAGAGACACGACGCAAAATTATCTGGATGCACGACGTCAGAAGCGCTGATTGTGATCTCCATTTTGGGCCTGGAGGGGTTGCCATGGTAATCGTGCTTCTAGCGACGCCGGGCGGCAACCTTTGCAGTCTAGTTGGTATCTCCATTCGTTCATTGAAAGGTGGTATAAGACGCTTGGCATCGCGGTACGGCAAGAACTTCTGGAGGAACGGTGCTTGTTTTTTCTGAAAAGTGAGACGATTTGCAGCCTGGGTACTGTCGGGCGACGAGAGCTGCTATGGTATCGTACGTGCACGGACAAGGCGAGCGGTTTTCGGCGCCGCCGGAATGGCGGCCGCTTCGTGGGACGAACGTACCGTCCTAGTACTTTCGGACTTCGCTCCGATGGAACAAAATCCGATTACGCCGGTCACGACAGGACGATTGGCTCAGGACATGATTACTGCTCGACTGCCTCATAGTGAGCGAGTATATGTTTAGCATCATACTTCAAGACCCGATCATCCCTTCAAGAAGAGATTTTCTCACCGACTGGTGAGCGAGCGACGTCGACGGTGTTCAACCAAGAAGGACGGCATGGTGGTCTCTAGGGAATCGTTGACGCCATCAAAAGAGACGGACGCCGGATATGAGGTGTTCTTGCCGACAAGCCAAATGGTCGTTCGTAAGTTAACCGGCATTCAAAAAGTCAATATTTTTATCTGATGCAGCACAGATATCCGTGTTAAACGGGCCACTAAATTACTTTTAAACTTCTTCCTTACCTGTAATCCTCAACTCAAAAGAGAACTGTGAAATCACGCAGTCGTGATATGCTAGGGCACCGGTGCGATGACCCCAAGCTTTCACCGTGCTTTTTAAGCACACCGTGGAACTTGGCATTCGCAAGTGATGATAAGCTTTGTCAGGACACTCATTGGCCAGGAAAGCGAATTCAAATATCCATGGACGAATTGATTGCTGACAAGCTCATACATTCGAGCGACGCAGTTTTTGTGTCCAATGCTTGAGTTGGGGTCGGCCGACGTCATTTTGGCCTTCGTAGGCATTGTAAATAGGATATTTGGAACCAAGCACACTGACATTAAGGAGCACAAAAGAGCCCAGCAACAGAAGATAAATATTACACTCGTAAGATATAAATATGTCTGTAACTTGTTAATTACAAAAACGAACACACCTCTGAGCATCTAAGTATAATAGTATGTGTTGATGCATTGTTATATAGCAGGACATTACACCAGTTTTTCACTTGAAAAACAAACCAAAAAACACTGCGATCAAATGCAAGCTATTGCAACGAAAGCAAGTTATATCAAAATCTTCAGAACTGCCAATTCGTAAAATTGTCGATTAGTAAAAAAGGTTAAAGATTGCAGGAGCTTCCTCGCTAAAAAATGCTGTGATTATTCGGTGACCCAGGGCTGAAACAATTTTTCCTATGCCCTACACGCGCCGTACACCTTTCGTTATAATTCTCAGAAATTAAGACTTTCAAAGGAAGCTATGTGGAGCGCAAGTTCGTCTGCTTCTTTTTGCAGGGTTTGTGGTGACGTCTGAACGCCGAGATCTGAGTGGCTCCGATTGAAGGATAGTGGGTAGACCTAAAACCAAGCTGCCTTGAGGCCTACCGACTATTCTTTATTCAGAACCAATCAGAGCTCGGTGTTCTGACGTCACCATAACCCCTACTAAAAGAAGCAGACAAACTTGCGCTGCGCATGTCGTAAAATCGTTGATTAGTATGCTTGGGAGTTGTGTGAATATTTATACAGCGTGTAGTTGGTCAGCCATTTCAAAGTTGCGACGAGTCATTCGCTGTAGATGAGCAATTTAGCCAATGCAGTATAACCGCTAGCCTGGGGTCTATAGGTCTTTAACGTACACCACGCAGTAGTGATACGCAACCGCAGGCTGGTACGATGCTCATCCAGATCGAAACGGGCAGGGGTAGGGATTGAACCCAGGTTCCCTGATTGATTAGTACAAAACGTAAACATCGCAGGAGCTTCCTCGCTAAAAGTTTGTGATCATGCGGTTACCTGGGGCAAAAACAAATTCCCCAAGGCCCAACATGTGACGGATAGATTTCGCATTGATTCTCAGACACTCCAACGTTCAAATAAAGCTAAAAGAATGCGAAAATTGAATGCTAAATGTCTTATCGATCCCCAGACACATCCGGAAACCCGAGCATCGCTAAGGCGATATTACTGACGCTGTCGCAGAGGTGCTACTATCCAGAGCGATCTTGCACGCAAATGATATAAAGTATCATTCTTTCAGATCTTCGCGTTATACCTACGTCAGAAAGCACGAAGAAGCCCTAAATCGTCGGCAAGCTGCGGCACATCACGACTCCGCGTACAGAACAAACTCGCATCCACCAGCTCTGGGCGCTGCCATCTTACCGATGACATCACGGCTCTTGAGAGGTCACGTGACGAGTCGTCACTCGGTTGCTACGGAAACCGAGCCAGCTGAGCTCGTTGCTATGGTACCGCGTGTGACCAATCGCGGTGAGAGGCGGCACAGGGAAAAGCGAGGCGCTGCTCTGGCAGCTACACTGCCATATCGAGTGGCTCTAGTTACCACTGCAGACGCCTTGCTCGTGCAGTGCGTGTAACTACACTCGTAGCATGCACCTCCGTGCTTGGGAAATTTAGCAAAAAAGTCTTTTGGGACGCTGTCTGTTTTTGTGTGCTATCAATACCCGGCCGATTGAGCCAAGGCAATCCACTTTCCAAAGACGTTGCCATGCCAACAATCGCGTTCATTTAGGCTTAGGAATGGCCAGAATTGAAAGACTATCGAAAAAATGCGGCGAAATCATTGCTCGTGCTTTTCGATTTATGTGAGGTAAGGCAAAGCGAAAGCCTCCTGAACCATTCATTGCTGACTAACGCGGCCAATATTGCAGCTACAACGACATAATAGCTCCAAGGCGAGCGGCGCTCACTCACCGGAGCACCGCCATGTTTCCCTGCCGTCCTTCTACTCTGCCGGTCACGTGACCTAAAATTCCCCCTCGTAGGGAAATGCGGTTAACTTCTAACCGCGGTTAGAGTTATACCTTGTTACACGGGCACACCTAACTGCAGTTACGC